ACCAGGAGCCTTGAGACCTAACTGCACAGCACCTGGTGCTGCAACCTAGTTCACACTGGCACTTTACAGCACTGTAACTTTGTTGCACTGGGGGAGGGGCTGTTTTTTCACACCCCTGAGCCAGAAAGTTACAGCGCTGGGTGATGTGCCAGTGTAGACTTAGCCTAAGAAAGTGATAAGTATAAGGAAATAAGACATAAACTGTAGGATGGATTAAATCCAAAGGTCATCATTTAGTCTTTTAGCCTCAGTCTTTTAGCCGCTAACGGGACAGTGATGCAGACTCAGGGTTTGGGAAGAGGCAAGGTTATACACACAATTGCATCATGCATTATCAGTGTGCTTTCCGGTGCTAGCAATAAGTGTAAATACAAAAGGGCTGCGTGCTAAGCGATTCACTTTATACTATTAACTAAGATGTTAGGAGAGAAATCAAACACTCTAGGATCTGTGCACCTTTACCGATACATGGGTACAAAGATGCAGCATTACAGAAGCCTATATTCCAAAGAGTGCTTTGAACCAGAAAAATCTAAAGAAATACCAGCGTCCTGGGGAATGCACACACTTTTCGGCTCTGAAGGCAGTATCCTGATTATAGAGCTACAGAGAGAATTGAGCACGGTCTGTGGCCAATGTACTCAGAGGAAGGACATCCACATATGATTCCCAATTCTTCCACAGGCCCTGTGGTGTACCCTAGATAAATCATTTAGGCCACCCATGCCTCAGATTATCCATCTGTAATACTGGGCTGAGCATGCTGCTCAGTTGCATTTGTGAAGCACAGTGAGAGCCTCAAATGGAAAGCACTTTAAAAGCATCAAAATCTGGCACTTTGCTCTCCTGAACTGTCTAGCAGCTTGCGCAACATAGAATCATGAAATCATAAGACTACTAGAACTGGAAGTGACCTCGAAAGATTCTCCAGTCCCCTGCCCTCATGGCTGAACCAAGCACTGTCTAGATCATTCCTGAGATCCTTGGATGAAATGTGTTTTAGGTAGGGATGTGAATGTGTAACCGTTTACACAGTTAACCAATGAGCCTGGGCTCACCATTCAAGTCAAGTCTTGAAATGAGGCATTGTCCAATTTTGAAGACAATCTAGAACCAAAGGGGGAAAGTTGGAAGCCAAGAATTTAAATCTGAACAAATTCCAAACCTCCCAAACCTCAAATTCAGGGTGGAGGTAGGTTTTTTTTTTTGTTTGTTTGTTTGTTTTTGTTCTGGTTTGAGCCCAGCAGGCACAGCTTTTATGTGATTCGCTCCCCCAGATTGTAGGCTGGGGAGAGAGAGACCAGAACTGGGCCCTGTGATAATGCCATTTACTAATATTGCAGCTACTATTATGGCAATCAAGACTGTCTGTGCCATGCAGGCAGAGCTGCTGCCGTAGGGATACATGGTATCCATCATAATCACTTCCTCAAGGCTACTTCTACATTGGCATGATCTTGCACAAATACTCTTTAATGCAAGAGTTCTTGTGTTAAAATATTTGTGCAAGAGAGCATCTACACTGGCATGTGCCTTTGCACAAGAAATGTGCTTTTGCGCAAGAGCATCCATGCCAATGTAGACGCTCTCTTGCACAAGAACGCGCCGATGGCCATTTTAACCATCAGGCTTTCTTGCGCAAGAAATTCATGTTGCCTGTCTACTCTGGCCTCTTGCGCAAGAACAGTTGCGCAAGAGGGCTTATTCCTGAGCAGGTGCATCATAGTTCTTGTGCAAGAAGCACTGATTTCACACATTAGAACGTCAGTGTTCTTGCGCAAGAACTCCCCGCCAGTGTAGACAGGTGGCATGTTTTTGCGCAAAAGTGGCCACTTAAGCACAAGATCGCGCCAGTGTAGACACAGCTCAAGTGTGGGATCAATACTCAGCTGAGTTGATGGCAGAGGTGAAAGTAACTTACATTTCTTACAGGTACCATAGTATTGCATCCCCTTGAGGGAAAAGGGGAGGGAGTGGGAGGTTGCAATAAGAATTTAAGTGTGGGATGGAGTGTCGGGAGGGAGGGAAGGCTCAGGGCAGGGGGCTGGAAGTGGGGGGCTCAGGGCACAGTTTGGGGATATGAGGGTGCAGGAATCAGGGCAGGAGATTGGGTTATGTGATGTGCAGGAGTCAGGGAAATGGGTTGAAAAGTATGAGGGGGCTGAGGGCAAGGGGGGAGGTGCAGGAGTCAAGGCAAAGGATTGTGGGGGACTCAGAACAGGGGTGTGGAGGGTGTGAGGATGCAGGAGTCAGGACAGGGGTTTGTGAGGTGTGGGGGAGTTCAGGGCAGGAGACTAGGGTGTGGAGGGGGCATCAAGGG